TTTTTTTTTAAAAAAAAATCAAAATACAATGATCTTTCATAATTCTACTTAAGTAGGTTTTTTTTTCTTTCTTTTTTCCTTTCTGTTATAATTTTGCACCAGTGAGGTTAAAACCAATTTCGTTGTATTTAAGTACAATGACAATAAAGATTATACTTATACTTATACTTAGTATTCTCTTGGCAAGTGCTGATGGATTGCTTGGCATGAATTTAGGTTACAGTTACGTTATTCTCTCTTCTACAAAGATGAAATATATACCCTTTCTAGGAGTTTGCACAGAATTCCAATTTGTTGTTGTTACAGAATATAATGACCCTTGGGTATACACCTGATTTTCCTACTAGAATTACTTACCAATTTTCCCTACTCTATCTGCTTCTAACCATGTAACAACTTTGACTTTTGTGGTATAGAAAAATGCTACTGAAATATAAGAATTATTATACTGTACCTGAAGAATTTAGAGACATCTGAAAACAAAAGGCACAATTTAGCATAATTGAGCCACCAGTAGTCTCACTAAAAAAAAAATCAAGCAGAATTCTGTCATACTTCCAATTAAATCTACTTAAGCTATTCTTATAGTGTAATCTTATTTCTATCCCTGTCCATTCTGAAGTCTTTCCAATTTCAGTGGGGCAAGTTTGCACATAATAACAAATGATTGCTTTCATAGTTGTAATTAATATTGCAGAGGTTGTAATCAAAGTTCATAGTCTATGGAATGAATGGGTGGTGTCATGAACACAATTAGCTTACCTGTGGTATTGTGGTAGAATTACTATTTTTAATAGTACAATACAATTACTTTTTGTAGTATCTATTTTTGATGGGGGAACCTGGTTACTGGTTATACAAATGTTATAAACGTATCTTGACTTCAATAAAGCATCTCACAAAATATCCTGTCATATAAATTAACAATCTAGTAAATATGGGCTGAATGACATGGGAATTATATAGACCTAAACTTGACTCAAATTGTATTCCAAGAATGTTAATAATGATTCCTTATCTAGCTGGAGAAAACTATCAATGGTGTGCCACATAAATCAATCCTGGGGCTTATTGCATTCTTCAATATTTTGATTAACGATTTGGGTGAAGAGGCAGTGAGAATGCATATCAAATCTCCAGATGATCCTAAAATTAGAAGGAATGGCTAATAGCCTAGACTACAGAAATAAAATTCAAAAGATTTGGCCCATTGGGCTGAAGGTAAAAGTATACGGGAACAAGTACAAAGTTCTTCACTTAAAGGGGGAAAAAAATCAAACATGCTTAATAATTATCCTTGGACAAAAGAACTTGGAATAGTTGTTAACTGAAATCTGAAGATCAGCTAGTAGTGGGATTTGGCTACAAAGAAAGCACGTTCATCTTTAGGTTGCATCAACGGAAATACAATTTTCAAATCACAAGAAGTAATAATTCCACTTCATTTTGCTTTGTCACACCCTGGCTCAGGTACTGTGTCCGTTTCTAAGCACAACTCTTCATAAAAAAGATCTAGAGCAATTGGAACAGGTTTGAAGAGCAGTGAAAATTAATAGAAACGAAGTCCTATGAGGAGAGATTAAAGGAGATGGGTTTGTTTTATCTTGAGATAAGATGACTAAGGGAGAATATTACAGCACTCTTCACATATTTGAAAAGATGTCATGTAGAAAAAAGGTCAAGATCTGTTCTCACTCCAGAGAGCACTATATGGGGAAAAATATTAAGTTATAGAGAGGCAATTCCAACTGAATGTCAGGGGGAAAAAATCTACCTAATAACAGTAATACAACAGTGAAACATCTCCAGAGACGTGGTGGACTTTTCTTCACTAGATGTGTTTAAACAAGTGAAAACCCAGAAATTAATATGGTTTCCTTACGAAAAAGTTAGATTTGGCTGTCTAAAGGGTCCCTTCCAATGTAATGATTTCATCTTTTTAAGTTAATAGATTACCATATATTTTAAACTGTAAACTTAAAACCAAGGTTTGCTTTTTATTTTTGAGATAACATTGTAACTCTCATTGGTTTAATTGGTAGATTAGAAATGGAGTCTTAGTGGATATCACTGTACAGTGCATATTAATTACATTAAAATAGCCCTTAATTTGTTAATGCTAATAGTGGCAATATGCTATTATATAAATGCAAGTCATTTCTATACCTAATAATTTAACAAAATGAGAAGTAATCATTCTTTCGATCATCAAAGATGTTTTACATACACCAAATGTAATTCCATTGTTAAGGGACGTAACGATAGTGCTGGAAATATTTTACTCTCTTCAGGAAATCCTTGCTGTGCATACAAATTAATAGAACATGTTGAAAACAGCCCTGTATATAATAATTGTATTAAGAGCATCATTAATGCAAATGATTATTAGGATTTTGAGACAGCTGGACACAGTAGCAATTTCAGAACTGTTGCTGCCACAGATTGCTGGTCACACATGCTGCTGAAAATAATATAATCAGCAAAAAGATATACAATGTATTATTACTTGGCAACAGTGTTATTGACAGAATAAACTAATATTGGGAATTGAAAAAAGAAATTATTTTGCAGTAAAAGAAATATTTATGTGTTACCAATGTGTTATCAACAAACTGCTATGGGTAGCATGTAACAAAGTAAAAGTACTATAAATATACACTTCATATGCAACAATTTGTATCTGGAAACATAGCATCATCTGCAGAAGCAGCAATCTTGGCATCCAATTTAGAATAATTAGACCATGTTGATAATTTAAGTGGCCATTCTAGCATCCTTTTGTACTTGAAAGGGTGAAAGATCTAGATTAACATATTTTCAAGGGATGTCAGCCAATTTTAGTTGAGCAGCTGCCTGAGCTGCTTTTAAATCAATCTATCAATTAATTAATGGATTAAAGTTCATTTTAAGCAGGTCAATACCAATGATACTTGATAGCTTTGCTTTACACATTGTGCAACTCACCAGTTACTGCTTTTATAGTGTATATCCTTTCCATTCATGCCAAAGGATAAGGCCACTGCCCAACAAGACCCTTCCCCCACTTGGCAGGTTAACCTAATACTTGTTAGAGAAATATTGTGCAATACATTCCTCAAAAGTAAGTCTAATGGCTTTAGAATGATATATTCTAAAAATTATTGTATGAGGATTGTAGTCAGCAGAACAATTCCATTCTTAAAAATAAGTCTCTGTCCATTTATTGTAGCTCATTCCCAGGTAAAGGGAGATAGAGTAGCAGCCTTAGGAACAATCACGAAATTATTAATTGGAAGTTATATGTGCTATATGAAATTTTTACTTAATAAACAAATGCAGGAGCCATGAAATATACTTACCCTGTAAAAGATGTACACTAACAGTTAATAATAATAATAATAATAATAATAATAATAATAATAATAATAATAATAATAATAATAATAATAACAACAACAATATAATCAACCCTGAAAAATGTGATAGCATTTGAACAAATTCTGATTTTAAATGTAGAAAGTAAAAAACATCTTTATATCATGTTTTATCTTCCCATATAATAGCAAATGCAGACATTTGTCTTACTGACCCAGATATTTCTGTCTAATCCAGCAAAGAAACCCATTATGTAAAAGTAGGTTGGATCAGTCCTTTGAATGAAGATCCCTTTATGCATATATTAAGGGCTTATCTTGAGCTGAGTAGACTTACATGCATGTCTTATCACATATGGTGCTTGGATTGTACCTGTCTATAGAGCCTGGTGTTCTGTGAGTTTAGAATTCATTCATGTGCCTAATTTTTTACTCTGTTTTGTGCACCTTGTGTGATAAATGTTGATAGATGAGAAATAATTTATGACTGTTTGGTTGTTGTGTGGTAGTTACTAAAAACTTTTGAAAGTTGGGTGGCATTAAATTAAGTAAATAAATACCTCCATATATAGTTTTAATGGCAAAAATTAATTGGATCTTCTTTTTCTTATTCACACCATAGAGTCCCCTTCTTTCTTTCTTTTCTTTCTTTTTTCCTTCCTTCCTTTTTATTTCTCTTCCTTCCTTTCTTCCCTCTTTTCTTTTCTTTCTTCTTCCTCTTTCTTACTCTTCTATATAACCTTGCTTAAGCCAGAAGGAAATAGCAAAGTGGTATATTTTAGAAAACCCAACCTCTTATTCCAAGGGCTCTTTTTATTATTTGAAGGCATCCCCCCCCCCTCTTTTTACATGTCTTTGAATAAGAGAAAACAGGGAGGTGCAGCCTCCGTCCCTGGTTTTACAATGCTTTGTCAGCTTTCCTGGTCCTGGATGGAGCCTGCCGAAAAGAAGCTGGGAATTGCCCGTCTCTCTTTTCCAGAGGATCCTCTTTGCCATAAGAGCTGCAGCAGGAAACGGAAGAGAAATCCAGTCCGCGTTTTCCACGCGTACCAGGATAATCAGAGAAGTGGATAATAATTGTTAGAACTCGTTCTCCTCGCCTCTCCCTCCCTCCCTCTCCTCCCCCCCCCCTCTCCCAGCCATGCTGGGCCTGATAGGCTCAGCCAGACGTGTATTTACCCATATCCGGGCTAGAGAGGAAAAGAAAAAACTTTCATTTAGACTAAAAAACAAAACAAAACAACAACTTTCACTATGAAATCACACAGCAGGGACAGGCACGGAGCGTAAGGCATTCTTCAATTTCTAATCTCCATGAAGGACTTTGGGAGGGGACTTTTCTGTCATTTTTCCAAAAAGAAAAAAGAAAAAAAAAGCCCTTGCTGTCTGCGTGTGAGTGCGCGCGCGCGCGCGGACGCGCCTACAATAATCATACTGGCTTTTTCATCAAATAAATCTGTTTTCCTGTGCTTTAGGGCCAGTTTTGAATTGTGTTTGGTCCTGTCAATTCCACACCCTTCCTTATTTATTTTTCCCGTTTTTCTAGTGGGGGGGGGGAGGAAAGGGGAGGGAGATAATTGAGTCTCCTCGATCATGGCCGCGCAAGTAGCAGCGGCTCCGATGAGTGCGAGCAAGAAGAGCAAGGTCAAAACCCAGAGTTTGACGGGTAACTTAAGCCAGGATCTTAACTCTGGGTTTCCCGCGGCTGGCACCGTGGGAGCTGCTGGACCTGGCTCCCTCCTGGGGGTCGTAGATGGGACGAGCGGCAGCCGATTGAATAATGTAGATCACCATCTTCTCCACCAAGATAATGAAGTGAACATGGCCAGTAATGCAACTTCTACCGCCGCGGTTCCTAACAACGCTACCAGCAGCGGCCGCAGCTCTTCCTCGGAACTGGTTCTGAAAGACCCTGGAAGCGCGTCGGGCTTATCTTCCTCTTCTTTTCTTATGGAGACAGGGCTGCTTCCTAATCATAAGTTGCAAAGCGTTGGAGGCGATGCCCCAGCCACCGCACCTTCACACCACCCCTGTGCCCAGCACCAGCACCAGCACCCAGCTCACCTCCGTGCCCAGCATCCCCACGTTCACTACCACCACCACCACCACCACCACGCAGTTCAACACCAACAGCTAAATCAATTCCAGCCACAGCCGCCGCCTCAGCACCATCCGATGCAGAATAACAACAACGGCGGCGGCGGCGGCAGCAGCAACAACAACGGCGGCGGCGCTGCTCAGCCCAGCAGCGCAGACATGGAACAGCAGCAGCAGCAGCAGCAGCAACATGGAGGAAAAGATCGTGGCTTGGGGGGACAGGCCGAGCCCCAAAGCCAGCCGCAGCCTCAGCCCCTGCTGAATCAAGGCGGGGACGGGGAAGAGGCGACGCCGCCGCCGGACAAAATGGGCGAGCAGCACCTCAACAGTCGCTACGACCACCCTAGTTTGGGACCTTTGGGCGGGCAGCAGCAGCAGCCGCCGCCTCCACCGCTACCACCACCGCTACCACCTCAGGGAGCGGGTGGCAGCAGCAGTGGCGGCGGCGGCACTGGAGGAGGAGACGGCGGCGGCCCCTCAGCGGTGGGTGTCTCGGAGTTTAATAGCTATTACGGCAACGCTGGCAGCGGCGGCAGCAGCGGCGGCGGAGGCGCCTCCTCAGCGAGCCGGGCCGGGCCTTGCTTTGATCAACATGGCGGACAACAAAGCCCCGGGATGGGGCTAATGCACCCCGCGGCGGCCCCCAACATCATGGACCCCCTGCCCAACTCGCACGAAGGCTACGGCAACAATCAGTACAACCACTACTCGAGCGCTTACGGCCGGCCTGGCGGCGGCACTAACACAGGAACAGGAGCTGTGGCGGCAGCGGCGGCGGCTGCAGGAGGAGGAGGCGGCTATGGGGGCTCGTCCTCTGCTTTTGGGGTACTGAGTTCCCCCAGGCAGCACCAGCAGGGCATGATGCTGGGCCCTGGCGGCGCCGGGAGCTTGGGAAAGGCATCCGGGGCTGCGGGTTTCCAAAGATTCTCCGGGCAAAACCAACACCCGTCTGGAGCCACCCCAACCTTGAACCAGCTGCTGACTTCCCCCAGCCCCATGATGAGGAGCTATGGCACGGGCTACCCTGATTATAGTAGCCCCAGCGGTGCCCCATCGCAGCAGCCGGCTCAGGGAGCAGCCGCCGCAGCCGCCCCAGGAAGTCAGCAGGCAGTCATGGGCAAGGACATGGGCTCCCAGTATGGAGCTGCAAACCCAGCCTGGGCAGCTGCACAACAAAGAAATCACCCTGCTATGAGCCCTGGAAGCACTGGACAGACCCTCAGCAGGAACCAGGTAACCATAAGAACCCCAAAGAGCAAACCGTTGTTGTGGGTTAACTTCGTGTGTTAATGTGTCCGATGCAACCTTTACTTTCTGCTTTACTTTTCCCCCACTACTCCATCTCAACTGCTTGCTGCCTCCCTAACAGGATTGGATAATGCACAATGTCTGACTCTGATTAGGTTAGAGAGGCATCACAGGGGGAATGACTTTTCTTCGAAAAAATAAGACCATTTTTATGAGACCGCTGAACAATACAAGAGACCCACTCTACCCCACCCAGTGCTGCTACTCTAGACTTATTAGAAATCTGAACACACAAGGCCCTGAGGAGAACCACTTTGGAGTGGGAAAGGGAGGGACCAGTGTCATTTTATTGGCTGTGCCAGTTAACATGCTTTCTTTCTTATCCTGTCCTGATTATTTTAGAAAGACCTCTAAAGTTATTAACACATTGCTTTGCTTGAATGCAGTTGTATTCTGAAAACCAGCAGAAACAGGCTAAGTAGCTTGTATAGTGCCCTACTACTGATAATTTTCAAGGCTCACATTGTTCTTTGGATGACCTTTTCTTTTTACATGTTTCTCCTGCCTTTCCAGTCTGTATACACTCAGTTTGAAAGCATATAGAGGAAAATAATTAAAAATCTGTTGTGAAAAGGGTCCGGGTTTTTTTTTAACTAGAAAAAGCCTGAGTGCGGTAAGAGATCAACAGTCAGGGTTTCTGGTGACTAATACATCTTTTCTGATTACATGTATCTTGTAGTTTGCCAAATTAATAGGTATCAGATGGTGATTGAACAATGCTTGCTTAAGTTTCCTATTTAGCACCTTTAAAACAGTAGGAAATAACTCCGCGCCCTTGATGTTTCTTATTCTGCTGTCTGAGCCTAAAGAGTGACTTGATCTCCTTTGCGAGGTTTGGAATTTGAATTGTGGAGGTAAACTGGCTGTAATAGTCTCCAGACAGCTGCCTCTGAGTTGACATCTAATCTGCCATCTGATTGGCTCCCCTTTCTCCATTGGGCATTTAGCATTGCTGATGTAAATAGAATTGCTGAGCAGTACAGTCACAAAAATTCTTGCCACAAATAATAACTGAGCACTTTTGCTCACAGATGCAAGGTTACATGTTCTTAGAAGAAGCTGAAATAATTGTCAGTCATCGATAGATAGCTGAGGTTAAGTGGGATTTAGCACACCACTACCTATTATATTAAACATTAGCAATAATAATGAACAGTCTTTTTAGAAAGGGAGATTAATTTCCTTCTTCCTTTTGTTTTGCATTTTTGTTTAGGTTGTTATTTTGTTAATGGTTTTTGAAAATTTCCTTCCTTCTACTAGCATAAATAAATATTTTAAATTTTAAATCATTGGGACTGATAACAAACAGAATTGTAGCCGATTATTTGTTTTTTTTGCTGTGCTATGCCGCATTTATTAGATCTGTATTTGTGTGACTGAATTATTGCTGAGTATCTTTTTCTATCTTTTATAGAATTTCATATTACCTTAGCATTAGATATATATTTTTGGGGTGATGTTAATTTTATTTGTACATTGGTTACTATTGTATCACTCACGCCCTTAGATATGTAGCTATTAGATAACTTATTAATATTGCTTAAGGTCTGTGGGTTTTGTTTGCTTCTAAATTATATTAACATTCAGGAAACACTATTTTTTTAAAAAAACTGTTTTGTATTTGTAATTTATTGATTAGAAACATAAATTACTGTGCTTCATTTCATTCTTCATCTTTAAAAGACAAAATGGAAACCTATGTTTTAATTTGCAATAAAATAAACAATTTTTTAAAAGAGTGATATTTTAGTATTACTAGGGACATTTTTACTTACTAGGACCATGCTATTATGAATGCTAAATCTTTGAATCTGTTTTAAGGAAAAGGAATACGAAAAATAGATTTTCATATATACTATTTGGAAATACCAAATGTTTCAGTTTTAAAATAAAATTTAAATGATTGTGTTCTGGAATAGAAACTAACTGCAGTAGTGAGTGATGGGCTAATCAGAAAAATAATTTGAATCTTTGGGTACACTGAAAACATATTTGTCTTATTGTCTCAATATAGTGCTATTGCTTTAATATTATACTATCTTCTTTCCCCCCTCCTTTATGAGGAAGTAAAAATTCAAAAAGTTAACTCTGTTTTCTTCTAATTTTCTAAGATTAATAAAAACATTAGCACAATGTGTGTGTCTATATAATCCCAGTTCAATTTAAAATTGTTTAATTTTCTGTGCTGTAAGCAAGAGATTATTCTTGCATGTAGTTTAATATGTTGAAAAGATAAACTGCATTTTATATGATATCTTAATGGGAAAATTGTGAATTTTCAATTTTAGCTAAAAAGAGATCAGAATCATAATAAACTAATCATGACCCTTGGAAATAGATTTTACACTTAACTGGTGCATATCCTGCTTGTAGGGCAAATACTTGTTCGCCACTGAAATATTGTGGGTGCAATTTATAAAATGTAGTCTGACAAGTTTCTTTAACATATGAGCATTTGGTACTAATGTTCATAATGAATATCATTCATTAGTAATGTTTTTGTTACTTTTCTATTACAATTGAAATCATTTAGAATAATAGACTTAAAATGGTATTTCTATTTTAAAAAGCAAAAGGTTATCAAAATATATATTTATTTTTTAAATATATTTTTCTCTGGATCAGATTCTTAAAATTATACCTATATACTTCTCCTGTATTCCTGTTGGCAAAAAACATGTACATTTGAAAAGTGTGGATTAAAATGGTTACCAGAACATATATGTGAGATGTATCTATTTATAAATGCCCATGCATACACAAATAAATGTACAGATATACCTGTACACATGTGCACAATGTAATGCTCAGTCCAGATATGCAGTAACTATTTTAATATTCTCTGTAATATAAAGAAAATAGAAGCCAGAGCACTATCTGGATGCTTGATGGCATTATTGCTTATAGGTATGTTTGTTTTCAATATATAGGAGTTGAATTCTGTTTTGAGCAAAATACTCCCATCTCATTTGCTTAAGAAAACAATTTAAATTACTTTAATCATAGCCCGTTCCAAATGTAAAAGGATTACCAAATATAACAATAAAATGAAAATCTCACGAAGCCTAGACTATTCAAGCTCCATCTTTGTAGCATCTATAGTTACAAAAAAGATCAAAAGTAGTACAATTAGGACAGAAGTACATAAGAGCCTCAGATTTAGTTTGATTATTTATTAGTTTTGTGATTATACAGGCTAAAGATTAAGAGTCAACGATACAAGTGACTTAAAGAAATACTTCACATTTCAGGTGTCATAGGTTATTACATATGCTATAGATCAAAAAATTATATAAAGCATAATGGTTGTTACTTATCTTTTTCTTTCTTTTTCAACTCTTGACTTCTCTAGATAATAGTTGATTAGAAAAACATCAGGTAGTTGATTGCTGTTTTTTTTAAAAACCACAGCCCTTGTTATAGGAATATATTATCTATAAAGGAGTCCCCTTTCTCTTTTTTTCGAATTAGCTGTAATTCATTATTTTGAATGTAATGTGAAATTGCAGGATCACACACTGATGAATATCAGCTCTATAGCTATAGATTATTAGTACTAATATGAGAAAACAATGCTTTTTATATTATATGTTCAGTACAAGTTTGTGATTAAAATTCTCAATTATGAATTCTGTGGTAATGGAGCAATATAATTAATAGCTTCTTTGTTACAATTATCACTATTAATAGTGAGGACATTGGTGCATATTATTGATTTTTGAAATATTAAGGATGCTGGAATATTGAGTTCTCAATTGAAATTTACATTCAACTTTGCTTGAGGTAACTATTGAGCTAAATAGTCAGTTTTATAGACTTTTCCACCATGTAATCTCTAAGAGGCAAGCTTATGCTTTCCTAACACATAAAATATAAATGTAGTTGTAGTAGATCAATCAGTAGATCAAACTGCCACATAATATGTATGAATTCTTCATTAAAAGGGTAGGCCTCTCCCAGGGGTGGGTTCTGGCTGCCGCTACTACTGGTTTGTTCAGGGACATGCTGTGTGTGCATGCTCGATGCATGCTGTGCATGCGCGCTGCGCGTGCTCGATGCACACTGTGTGTGTGCTTGATGCACATAGCACACGTACGCACAATACAAAAAATGTCTGTGCTTGCGCATAAGGCAAAAAAAAAGATGAGAGAACCGGTTTGGGGGCGTGACAGACCTGGGTTGCTGCTGGTTCCATCAACCTAGGCCGCCAAGTTACTACCGGTTCGGCCGAACCAGTAAGAACCTACCTCTGGCCTCTCCCCTGGCATTGTTGTGTGCCAAAATAGTAGGATGTTTGCAGTGTGCTGCTCACCATGATTTGACATGAGTAGAACCTTAATTTGCACCTTTAAAATGAATATTTGCCCTAATATTTAGTGCATATAAGCATGATGTTGGAGCAGCATGCATATATCTTTCCCTTTGTTCCAAATGCAAACTTTTTATTATTCCAGTAGGCAAATATAAGATCAGATTTAGAAAGGAAGTTCAAGCAAAGACATTTCTTTCAATTTAGTGAATGCTGATAAACAAATCTATTACCTTTTAACAAAATAAATCCAAATCACTATTCAAACTGCTGTATCTTCCATATTGCTGGAAATGAAAAAGCATATATTTGTGTTTGGGGAAAAGGCAGCATATAAAATGAGCATCATCATATTTTTTACTCTTAGGTTAATTATGCTTAGTCAGCATATTAAGTCTAGTCTGATTGACCTGAAATTTTCACATACTGCATGTTATGAAGCAATGGTGTGTGTATTCTCATTCATATAATTGCCCTCAAGCTTGCTAAGGCTCCAGTAGGGCATCACATTTCAATACAGCTTTGAAATTTGCTGTCTCCTGTCCTATGATTCTTAATATATTTCTCATGAACAAATGCTTACTTTCAGTCTTGATGATCTGTGTCATTTATTAAT